AAATCTGCTGGCAACCAAGAGAGAGGGAGAACTGTATGATAAAAAAACATCGTGGATCCTCGTTGCAACCCTCATCACTGCACAATCTTGCTTCACTTATCTAACCTGAAGCCTTTGAAAGAAACAGCACACCTTCTTTAAGTCCTGGTCAGCAATGGAAAGAAAAGGGCCAGTGGACGCCCAATCAGCTGGCATTCTGCATTCAGATTTCAAGTCACGGCCATCAAATCAATTCCGACTCATCGCGACACTTTAAGACAAGGAAGAAGTGTCCACGCGGGTTTCTGAGATGGCGGTAACAGTTTATGGGAGCAGAGAGCCTGTGTTTCTCCTCTGCAGAAAGTAAACCCACAATGCCACCAGGGCTCCTTCACATTTTAAGGACGTTGTGAAATATAAAAAAAAGTAAGATGGCGCTACATGACTTTCCCTTAGGATATCAGACTAAGAGCCCTGGTAAACTGCAACATTCACGGAGATGGCGGGGTGCCAATCCTGTATAACATGTGTCTGAAGCACCTCAAGCGTAAGCACTCCCCGACTGATGAGAAGCATAGTTAGAAAAAAACAATTTAATAAAGCTGCTTAGTTTTTTTTAAAAGGCTTACAGCAATTCCCAACGACTCAGTTATAGCATTTAGGAGAATGCAAGTGGACTTGGGGATGCCAGGACACCATCTTCCAAAGCACATGAAAGACCGAGCGATTACAATAGGAGTTTGGAAGCCACACTGCTTAGAGATCTCCCTGTTTGGAGTTTCTGGTGTTTCTGAATCAAGAGGATAAAAGGGTAAACGAAACCCAGCAGGAGAAGTGTTTTTCAGTCACGTATTCAATTCCGTATTCACGTATTCAGCGACCTAGGAATGCTTCCATCCTACGCTGGGCCACGAGACTGCCGGATGACACACCTGGGATTCTTGTCCTTAGAGCTTAAGCGTTTCCCTCTCCAGTCCTACCAGAATAGTCCTTGGCCTCACTGGACCTAACTTAAGACAGGGAAGAGAGAACGGTTTCTCTTTTGACCTTTAACAGGCAGGCATTTGCATTGAGAGCTTACCATACCAGTCAGGCAAAGTACATACACCCTTTTACAGCCAGGGCATTTCCTGTTACCCCCCCTTCACGGAGGGTCCCCCCCCAGCTCCCAGCCTCAGGCCTCACTTCCCCTCCCCCACAGGGGCCCCAGCTTTTTGCTCGGACCACCCAGCCTCACAGGTTCCTCCTTAAAGATTGTAGAGCAGC